ACAATAAAGGAACGAGAAGGAAAGAAAAACTTGAAATCAAGACCCTATGACTCAGACCACTGGTTCTTCCGCTCTCTATTCAGATGGAAATCGAAATTCGAATTCCTTGTACGAATGGAGTGGAGAGGCGTCCGGTTGAGGGCAGAGGACAAATCAGCGATGAGAATGGACGAAGGGTAGACACAAAACTGGCTGGGCCGAATGGGTCAAGTTTTTTGGGTTTCACTAGATTTGCAGTGATTTGGCTTCTCCACAAACCGGGTTCGGGTTTGTATTATTGATGTTGGGTTATTTGGAAGGGAAATATAGCTAACTAGTCAAAAAAAATTAATTTATTTAGTGATAATAATATTAGTAAATATGTCAAAAATGTTATTATTTTTAAAATAAATAATTTTTTTGATATGATTCATATTTTTTCTCTCATTATTTACACCCTTTTCTCTCTCATAGATTACACATTTTTCTATATTGATGTAATTAAATAGATGTTAATGTTATTTTAATTTTTCTCTCTCTTTTCTTAAGCTTATCTATTTCTCTCTTTTACTTTCTTCCTAATCAAATTCGAAGATTTTTCTCATTTTTCTTACTCTTCTTTTAAATTTCTCGCTCTAACATTCTTTCAAATCAATTTCACAGAGTTTCGATTCAATATATTAATATTTTCTATTATTATCATTTAATTTTGTTGCAAGAGTTGATTTGAAGATAAACATTGATTTGAGTATTATGTTTTTCAAATTTCTTATTTATTTACTTACTGATTTTAGTGTTTTTTTTAAAAAAATTATGTTTTATTGTTGTTCTTAAAACATTTTTTAGGGTTTGAGACTACATAATTCTCTCTTAAATGGACGTTTTCAAGAGATTACTAGATATATTGGAAAAAATAATCAAAGTTCATCCTATTTTTCATATTTAATTTTTTTTCACTTAAGAATTAACAATAATGTAGGTTCCACTTCTAAATCGAAGAAGGATGTACGATGGGAAAAAATGTCTGAATCAGTCGTTGTGCAAAATCCCACACAAGTTGATAACCATGAAGTTGAAGAAGATCAATTTGTTAGCGAAAAGGTATTTTTTTTGCATGTTCTGTGTCTTGCATTTTTAGTTTAATTTGTTTTGTAATTTTTAAGATTCAAAAAAATTCAAGTTACAATGCGTTTGGAAGTGTATATGAAATTTATATTATGTTATAGTTAATATTTATTTTTGTATTTTATATATTTATTGTATTTTGTGTTCTGTTTTTTTTTTGTTAGTTATGTCAAAGTAACACATTATATGAGTTTGATTGTGTATATTTCATAGTTTGAATATTTTTTGTATTAATAGATTTGAAAGTGTATATTGAATTTAGTTGTTGTTTTAGTCAATATGTATTTTGTATTTCATTGTATTATTGCATTTTGTATTCATAGATTTGGAATTGTATTTCATATATTTAATTCATTTTGTATTCTGTTTTTTTAATAGTTATGTCACTGTTCCACATTTAGTATTTATTTTTGTATTTCATAGTTTTGTTGTTTTTCGTATTCATAAATTTGAAAATATATATCAAATTTTGACTATTTTAGTCAGTCTGTATTTTTACAATTAATAGCTGTATTCATTAAAAAATTATGTTGCATTGTTTCTGAATTTGACATGTTTTCTAACTTGTATTTATTCTAAAGGTATGTCAAGTAGTTATGTATTTTATTTAAGAATTAGTGCACCAAATATTCAATTATTTCTTTTTAATTTTATATTTCATTCACTTTTTCATCATACTAATTTTTTGTATTTTATATATTATTATACAAAATTCAAAATAAAAAACTAGAATAAATAGAAATACAAATAAAATACATATTGAAATGAATACATACAAGATTTTTGAAGAAAAAAATAACTATATAGGGGAAAAATAATATGGATACAAATATATTTCGTAAATGACTATATAGATACATTCATCATACCTATTGGAATGAATACTAATTGATAAAAAAAACTATAATAAATATAAATAGAATATATTGTGAATGAATATAATTTTAAAAAGGTGAAAATTCTGGAGAAATAAAAAAGAACAAAGTTTAAATTTTATTTGAAAATGTAATTGATGAAAAAACTAAGTGATCCTTACCTTTCCCTTTTGTTATTAAATAATTATATTCTTTAAATAAAAACAAATAATAAAAACATAAATAAGATACATAAAAAATTAAAATTTGAAATGACATTTTTATTAAATATTGAAAGTATTGCTAATGTTAAAATATTGACATTTTGAAAATTTTCCCTATTTGGAATAGTATTGGAATCTGTTAGCTGATGGATGTATTGCCTGCGCTGAGTTTATGTAGTGGCTCAAAGAAGAATTAATTACGTGAATAGATATCTTCTAGAAAATAATTACTTATTTTAAATACACTTTTTAATTATTAGCAATTATAGCAACCTCTTTAATTTTTTCATTTCCTTTCTAGAAAATAATTATTATATTAAATATACTCTTTAATTATTATTATTTATAACAACTTCTTTAATTTTTTCCTTTTCTCTATCTCTTTCTTTCTTTCTTTCTTTCTTTCTCCGTCTCGTTTTTTCTTTCTTTCTCTGTCTCGCTTTTTCTTTCTTTCTCCTTTACTGTGTCTCGCTTTTTTTTCTTCTTTCTTTCTCCCTTTCTTTATTTTTTTCTTTCCTTTTCCCTTTCTTTCTTGCTTCTTTTTTGCTCTTTCTCCCTCTTCTACTATTGCTTTATTTCCTTTTTTTGGTAGAATAGTCAATGATTATAGATTGAATAAAACTTGTATCAATAGTTAATTAGACAAGTAATATAATCGTAACAAATGAAGAGGCATAAAAACTGCAAAATGAATTAAACTTTAATTCAACTCACTAGGTACTTAGTATTTTGATTTCATATTTGATGTATGGTGAAGGGTTAACTTCCTTCGGGAAGTCAACTCTAAACCATCTTAGGTAAGAGGTAAGGTTTATGCCCCCCTCCTTGAATTTTGTTTTTTGTTATTAGTGATAAAGCCTGGGGGTGTTGCTCAACCCCTACCCCTCCAAGGGTTATTCAACTAAAAAAAATTTAAAAAAATTAAACTTTAATAAAAATGTATTACAAACATATCAAAGTTGAATTATTATAAGAGAAGTAATATAATCGTAACAAATGAAGAGGCATAATAAACTGCAAAATAAATTAAACTTGAATTAAAAATGTATTACAGACATTTTAAAGTTGAATTAATAGAAGAGAATTAAATATGAATGCAGAATGTAGAAAACAAAAGAGCATTATTTGATATGCATGCAAACTAAATAAAATTTATATCAATAATAAATAAAATAAGTAACCAATCGTAACAAATAAATTAATTAATTGCAGAGTGAATTAAAAATACAAAAGTGTATTACACAAGTATTAAAGTTGAGGTAGAAGAGAGATTTAGGCATGAATATAAAAATGTAATAAATAAAATATTAGACATTGATTTAAAGAGTGAATTAAACGTATATTTTTAATGAATTAAACAAGTATCTAATAGGAACAAGTAAACAAATAAAAAAATGCAAAATGAATTAAATTTGTATTAAATTATATTAATCGACATTAAATTTGAATAAGAAGAGAGAATTAAGAATTCATTGAAAACGTAACTATGATTGACAAGACAATGATTTGTAGAGTGAATTAAACTTGTATCAATAATGAATTAAACAAGTATCCAATAGTAACAAATAAATTAAAAGGTTGTGAAATGAATTAAATTTGCATTGAAACTGTATTACACTGTATTTAAAGTTGAATTAGAAAAGAAAATTAAGAATGAATGGAAAACGCAACTAACGAAAGATACGACAATGATCAATAAATTGATAAATTATATCAATAATAGATTAAACAAGTATCTAATTGTAACAAATCAATCAAAAAACTTCAAAATGAATTAGATTTGCATTAAAATTGTATTATCTAATTTAACTTTAATACAGTTGCAAGACCATTTTAATGTTATACTTAATTTATTTCAATCTAATATTTATCCTAAAATCTATTTTAAACTTAACCAAACCCTCTTAAAATTGAGATATAAACTCCAAACGACATTTTCAATCATTTGTAGGAACTACCTATTAAAACTTATCACAAATTTATAAAATTCAAATAATGAGTTCAAATTTTGAAGCTTTATAATGACCATTAATGGTGAACTCTTGCTTCTGTAATTTCAAAAATTTGAAATTTCTTCTTAAAAACGTAATTTTATACGGACTTGCAGTCTTTTTGTTCCTGTTTTTATCTTGTTTTTGAATAAAAATAGTGACATGAAAAAAAAATGATTTGAGGAATATAATTATTTAGATAAAAAATTTAAAGAAAAGAACAAGAATTTAAAAAAAAGAAGAGTGAAAAATATAAATAACACCAATGAAAGAAACAAAAAATTAAAAGAGTAAAAAAAGAAGAAGAAAGAGGGGAAGAAGCAGAAGAGTAAAAAAGAAAGAAAGAAAGAGACAAAGAAGCAGAAGAATAGGAAAAAAGGTTGAGAAAGAGGCGAAGACCCTAATATTTTCTTAATTCCAAAAAAATGTTACATTTATTTAGAAAAATTATGTTGACATTAATGGTAAATATTTTTATATAGCATATTTATATGATTTACCCCTCAAAGAAATAGATTCCAAATTACAAACGTAGCCGAGTAGAGTCCATTAAGCTAATAATGAAATAACATCAATTATTCGACGAACTTCTTAATATTAACAAAATATAATAATCAACTTAACTATAAATTAAATAAATTAAAATATAAATTATATGTAAAACAAAAATCTTTTGAGACGATCTTTAAATATTCATAAATATGTACTTAATTATATAAATAAAAAATATATTTATTATTTAGGAATTCCAAAAGGGAAAAAATTGTTAAATATAACTTGATTTTTTTTTGAATTTAATGAAAATAATTATTTTAAATCATTTAAGATTGTAGAAGTTCGATGATAAATATATATTGTGGAGTTCCAAAATGTAGCGTCAACAACAAGAGTTTTTTTTCCAACATATTTTTAACTCTATCTTGATTATCCAAGTGAACTAGGTAGACAATTATATTTATCCTTATTACACAAGACTGTTCTGCATACATCTAAATTGATTTGGATTATATTGAATTTGTTCTTGATTATACAAGTCTATGCTATAGAATTTGAAATAAGATTCTCTCTAAAATATTATAATGTATATTCATTCATTTACTAATTACTTAGCATTGTTTGTGAAAATTGAAAATTTGGATCTTTTATCTTGCTCTTCACTAAACTATTCTCCCTTTACCCTTTTTCATTTCTTCAGCCCTTTTCTCAAGCATCTCCTTGTAGCTACACTTGCCAAAATGATCATCTTTATTAGTCATTCCAACTCCAATTGGAGAACCATATATTGGAGAAGAAACGGCGTCCTCAAATACATCACAGGTTGATAAAGATGCCGGGCTTATTGCTTCTTCAATTTCTGATTTTTCATTTGACATTATGATTTGTTCTTTTGAAGCATTAGAGTTATGTGTAACGTCTTTTATTATTGACTCTTGATTGACATCGATCCTTATCTCTTTCTCCCTAGCATTCTTGGATCCCCAACGAGTCAGACATGAAATCCAGAAATTCAACCATGCTATAAGATGAACGAGTGCCCAATCAAGAAATGGCACCTGATGAATAATCATAGGCAACTTTTCCATCATATCAGCAAATTTTCCTGGTAGATTTTCTATAACGTGAGCTAGCTCATCAATCTTATCAAACAATCTAGACGATGGCGGAAAAAACTTTTCTACCACAATTTCTGAACAAAGTATACATTTGTCTATAAAAGAGAGGATTGATAGCCATTGGAACTGTATTGTGTATAAAATTGGCATTATATAACTCATCCCTATCCATATTTTCTTTATTATTGATCCAATAGGTCCATTAAATTCCTCTGTTTTTTTGGAGGCGATGTGGATTATAGCTATGATTGAAGCTACACAAGTGTATAATGGACGACGTCTTGACATTTTTTTGATTATTAAATTTGATCCCTGAAACTTGAAATTGCATGGTTGAATTAAGATAATTAGAAGAATAATATATAACAAAGATTTTTGAAAATAGACGACGTCTACCTTGGATGTAAATGTGTCTTTTCACTTGACCATTCTTTAAGCAATCTTATGTTTCCTTGTTTACATTTATAAAATTATAGATATTTAGAAAATAGTTGTAGAACAAAAGGAAGATAGATCTTGAGGAATTGTTTGAATCTAGCTAGTTGTGAGTTGTAGGTTGGCATCTGTTGTAGCAATTCTATGGTTAAGACTCCCTACATTTAGTTATAATAACCATCTCAATATTTCTCCCTAAATTGTTTTATTTTATATAGTTTAATATGATGCCTAATCTAATGGATCATTATTAATGATTACAATTCTTCTATTTAGGTCCAATGACAAAAAAATTATTTTTATCTGCTTTCCTTTATTAAAGATAGCTTATCTCCTACTCAAACGATGTTGGTCAACTCTCATTCCTATTTAGTAACTTTCATACATTACGACTATACATTGTGTCTACTTCATACTTCAAGAGCTTCATTGCTATTAATTTGTTAGGAATATGCGTTATTATGATTAATGAAACTTATAGTAGATTATAGTATGCAATACCCCAGATCATTCATCATATTCATATTTCTTATTATCTCTTGTCTTGACTTTTAGTTCATCATTATGTACTTGTTTCGTTGACAAAACATAAAGGACGTCAATGAACACAATTGACGTGATAATATCTAATAAGTTTCCTCATCTCATAAATCTCTTAATCTCAACATGATATACTGTTATAGAAATATCTCTCCTGAATGAATCTATCATGATATCTTGGCAACATTATAGGGTACCAAACATCAAGCTGAATCACAAGAAACCGATTAAAGTCATGAGGGTACAATGTGAAAATTACTTAAAATTTTCACGACTTTAGACAATAGCAAGTAGAGACTAAATTTTGCCTTATGGATCACTACATGCATACATGACATAAAACATGTATTACAGTACTGACCCCTTACAATGGATCTTATGTGTTTAATTAATTAAAAATGTGCATATGATAGTTCAGACAACTCATGTCTAACTTTGAGTTCACAAATCTTCTGATCAATTAATTCTTCGAACTCAATCTTGAATTAGAAACAAACTAACTCATTTTAGTCACACATGATTAAACACAAACAAACAAATGACATTGTGATTATAAACTTCTATCTTTCTAATATCACCACTTGGACAATAATTATTTTGTAACTTTCTCGTCTCTGCTTCTCACATACACAATATTAGGGATTGCATGCGCGAATAGGCCAATACTTTTGTCTATTTGACATACTTTTTATCTTCAGAAATTTTTGTACACTTAACATCAGTAATATCAATTTACATGAGCATGCTTGGGAAAAATAAAAATATAAGTACATAAGCATCTACCTAAACCCTATGACTTCACATCTCTTTCATAGAATTACATTATATAAGTTTTGATAAGGGACATTCTACCATTTTATGCGTAGATATGTATTTTAGGTTGAGTTTCTTCTAATGTAACATTGCTCTTACAAAATTATATTTTATGTGAATGTGTTTCGTCTTTCCATGGTACTTCAGGTCCTTTTTTTTACTATTGAAATTTGACTAATACAATTAATTATGACATGCTTAAAAACATTGTTATACACACCTAGACAATTCTTAAGCCAAATATCTTCTTGCACAACTGATGAAATTTCTAGGAATTTAGTTTCTATTGTAAATAAGGTTTTACATGACTGCTTCTTGCTACTCCATGATATGACACCATCATAGAGAAAACATAAATATCCAGAGGTGGATTTTCTCTCATTAAATCTCCTCCACGATCAACAATTGTAGTCTTTGAGTTTTAGATCATTCCGCTGATAACAAAAGGAATAGTCAATTGTGTCATTTGTATAACTTAATATCCTTTTAACTACTTTCAATATTGCATTCCTAAGTCAGTTTGAAATATACTAACCATAACCCAACAATAATAAATATCCAGTATAGTACACATCATAGCATGCATAAGACTTCCAACTGCATTGACATAAGGAATTTTTCTCATTTGTTCCTTCTCATTTGGAGTATAAGGTCACATCATCTGATCCAAAATTTTAATTTTAGAGACTGGAGTATTTATGTAAGGATCCCAAAATGAATTAGGTTGAAATATAGTCTAACATGATTAGCATGAACTTAGAAGGTCTTAAAATGACTAACTGTAGTTTTAAGAGGCAACATGTGAAGTTTGGAATAATTTGGAGGTAAAACATCCAAGAACTCCCAAGACGTTCAAAAGTTAGCCTTGAGAACGTGCTTGCGTGACTTAGTATGTTTTATGAGGTTTTATGTAGTGTTTGGGGCTAAAATTTGCAAGGAAAGCTCCTTACATGTAAATGCACATATTTGGGATGATGACGTCCGTTAAAGGCTCCCAAGGACCACCCAAAGGGTCTTTGAAGAGGACCCAAAAGTGGATAGTGTATTGCCTTGGTAGTGTCACTTCACGACCTTCAATCAATGCCCCGTCAGTCGAGATACGCCCCGTTGATTTGAGGCGTCACTCCACATTTATGCATGGAAGTTGAGCCCCTAAAATGGGACTCTCTTACAAGAACTACGGACCTGCATTACGGCACCGTCATTCCATCGATGGTCCATTGAATATAGGCATTGATGGGTCTGCAATTTTCCTGCAGCACGGCTGGTCACTTAAGGGGTGAATGGGAAATTCACCCACGTCCAAATAAATACATGGGCTGTTAAATTAGGTGGTTTTAGGTATTTTATGAGTATTTAAACAATAATATACCCCTTTAGACATTAATCTCCAAGATCAAAACCTCTCTCTCTCCAAAACTCTCTCAAGAACACCATAGAAGATGAAGAAGAAAATTGGAAGCTGCTCTTAGGAAGAATTTCACCAAGGATTCAATGTAGGATTAAAGCTATAATCTAATGTATGTGAAGATTATTCATCCATGGATTATTCCATTCATGGAGTCCCGTATTTATTCCTTAATTGTGAATCTAAAGAACCCCAATATGGAGAGAGTTGTGATTGCATTGTGGTTAAGGCTTCATTGTGATACCAATGTAATGTGTAGCATTCAATTATGTTCATATGGTTATTATGTGATATTTTCATCAGGTTTTCATGCTGAATTGTAATAATTGATGTTGAAGATGATCATGGTGATTTTAGGAAAGATGAAGGTTCTAAGTTGATCTTCTTAATTCTATTGTATTATATGCTAATTGATCATGATTGAATAGCCTAGATATGAATTGAACTAGTCCTAATTGATCTAGTTTGGTCTTCACTTGTGATTTTTTAATTGAACCTATGTAATCATGTATGCATAAACTTACCTTCTAATGATCTAATTGAATGAAGTAATCATGTAATTGAACATAAATCATAATGAATTGAAGGTAATAATCGATTATGGGCTATTGTGCCATTGATGCTAGGGCTTTGAGGGTAAAGTCATTATGAAGGGATTGTGATGATGTTTTCTTTATCTTATACACTTAGGCAGGAATATGATAGGGGAATCAAGTTATCTCACATAGATGAATTCTAGTTTAACCTAAGAACCTAAGTAAATAAAAAAATATGATGAACTAGATTAGCTTGAAGATAGATTACACGGTCACTTCTTGTGTAATAGACTTGGTGAGACAAGACCAAGGCATGATTGCTTGAGATGTAGATATCATGATAGCTTGAGATGTTAGGTTTCAAGGGTAGCTTGGGATACTAAATCTCAAGGATGCTTGAGTTGAAATACTCATGGTAGATTGAGATGCTGAATCTCATTGAAGCTTGGGTTGAATTTTTCATGGTAGCTTAAGATGTTGGGTCTCATGGAAGCTTGTTTTTAATTACTCATGGTAGCTTGAGGTTATGAATCTTATGTTTAGCTTGGTATGGAGGAAGTAAGAGCTCCCATGTTTAGCTTGGTCATGTGTTTCAAGGATGGTTGATCATGGTAGCCTGGGGATGATGATTCCCATGTTAGCTTGGGATGGAGGAAGAAAGATCTCCCATGATAAGCTTGGTCTTGTGTTGTAAGGATACTTGATCTTGTTATCTTGACTTGGTTAGGCCAAAACCTTTTAATTGTAGCTTTAGGGGAAAGGCCTATATTGTCCTAATATTATATTAAGTAGCATACATGGTGCATTTCATGATAGATTGATTTGAATTCCAGGTGAGTTTCATGTAGTAGCTTGAGATTAGTTTCTCATTATAACTTAGGGGTGAGGATTAATTCTCCTCTATTATTAGCCTGCATCTACATGATTGGTTGCATGGTGGTTAGGATGGTTGTACCCTTACTTTAGTTAGCTTGGTTAGTATGTTGAGATGCATACATGGTAGTAGGTCTATTATGATAGTAAGTTGAGCTTAATAGACAAGAGTGCAAGACAAGTTAGCTTTGAATGGGATATTCTAGAGGAATACTTAGTATGGATTGTAGTATGGGATGCTATCCATACATGACACTAGTATGACTTAAAGCTACCTATGACATGATCACTATATGATGTATGCTTAGCTTGAATAGTGCTATAGTTTCCTTCCACTTGATTGAATTAAGATGATAGTTCCTTGTCAATATGAAATAGGTCTACTAGAGACTCCTAAACTAAAAATGAAGAGATTAGGGTGACTTTAAGATATACTTAGTGTATGAGGTAAAATGGGATGTCCATATGCATTGTACAAGTGTGCTTTGAGGTAGACTAGGGCATAATGCTCATAAGTTATGATGAACATAAGGTATTAATTAGTTACATTTCGTACTAACACATATTTTTCCTTAATTCTAATCCAATGTAGGGTTTTGAGGAGATTGAGTTGCTTTTTGAAGGGTAGAGTTTCCAAGGATTTCAAGAAGTGAAGATTGGTGAGTCTTCATATCATCCAGGACAACACCACTATGATATATTTTATGTTCTTTTCAATGTTAATACTTGTATGGGCTGTGACACTAGAATATTGTATTCATGATGTCATATTAAAAGATTCCGCATTATGTTTTTGAACAAAAATTTTTAATTCTTTGCTTATTTTCATATGTTTATGCAATGAATTATGTCTAAGCGCTTATATAAGACTTCCGAGAGATCAACTACGCTT